ATCACTGAGTCCAATATGGAATTTGGCACCCTTGGTCATATTTACTCGAGACATGTCCAGAGAGTAGGACAACAAGGTTTGTAGCACATCAGACTTCAACTGCTTTGAAAAATTCCTTTGGGGAAGTATGTGTTTATTCTATTTATGTCCTGTGTCCATTAACATGAACATTCACCAAAAACAGAAAGAACATGGAGGATAAATAATGGGCATTTTCAGATAGAATAGATAGCTGATAGAAAAATGAATAAAGACAAAAACACTTGAGAGAATGGTTTTAATAGAAAAACTTTGGAATCTTATCTTGGAATCTTATCTCCAGGTGAAATCTAGAAGGAAACTTTTAAGTTAAATGTTGTTCTATTTACTTTACAGAAAAAACAAGCGCAGTTCTATGAAAACATTGTGAAAGTGATAAGACCTAAACCAGATTACTTTGCTGTTGGATACTATGGTCAAGGATTCCCTACTTTTCTACGGGTAAATATTAAGGTGTTTGTTTTTTTCAATAGTTATGGGTAGATCACTTTTGTTTGCAAAAATTCTCCTTTCATGTTGGAGAGATTTATACATACAAATCTTTTTCTGCTTACATGAAACAGATGTCATCACTTTATTTGCACTTATGACATAGTAAAACTGTAGTGAAAGAAGATATTCTTTACAGCACATCCAGTTTTTTATAAATCTCAATCTTAATTGGAAATGAACATGTATAATCTGTTTTAAATCTAAATTACTGTCTTCCTTTTGACTGTTCCTTTAAAACAGTGTAACTAATGATTGTCAGACGGAACAGTTTTTCACTAGCATATTAGAAGGTTGTGAAGGGCTGATAAATTTAATACACTATTTTTGTCTGAACTGTAGTTACATTTAAAAATATATAATAAGTATGTTCTAATTGTGACACTGTGATATTTGCTTACATTTTGTCATAGATTTTCTTAACAAAAACTGCATAGAAGATTGAGGAATAGAAAATAGCTGCATTGTAATGATTATGTAAATATAATATTTAGCTAACCAGGGATTAAAAGAAGCAAATTTTTCCTATTCCAATTGTTAGAACTATAAAATATGTAAATGAAAAGCTCTGATTGGTACATACAATCCTGATAGCTAGTAAGTGCAGGATTTGTGTTCATCATATATTTTCTAGTGTTTTGTCTACATAGTTATAAATGCTAGTTTTGATTAGTCTGTTCTTGTGAGATATCAGATGATCTGAAATTTGACTGCTTCCCCAGAAAATAATTGCATAAACATTTTATAAAGTTCCTGAAAAACAGAACACAGAAAATGGGGAGAATAACAGTAATCTTCAAAACTGGAAGATATCATACAGTTGCTGGTAACTTCACACAGAGTATTACGTCTATGACTTGTTATGAGTCTTTCCACATGTATATTAATGTACAATATAGTATACATTTCCTACTATGGAATGAGTTATCTGTCAGTGATTTAGAGATGCTAAATACAACTTTCTGCAAATAATTCTACTGGGATCATAAGAGAGACAGCAAGCTCTCTTGAATATCAGAGTGCAATAGCAGTACATGCAGTCCCCGGGTTACGTACAAGATAGGGACTGTAGGTTTGTTCTTAAGTTGAATCTGTATGTAAGTCGGAACTGGCGTCCAAATTCAGCCACTGCTGAAACTGACTGCCAGTTCCGACTTACATACAGAATCAGCTTAAGAACCCCAAGCATCCCCAAGTCAGCTGCTGCTGAAACTGATCAGCAGCTGATTCCAGGAAGCCCGGGACAGAGCAACTCTGCCTCGGGCTTCCTGTAGTCAGCGCTGGTCAGTTTCAGCCGCGACTGACTTGGGGACGCCTGAGGCACGGCACCTGGGGGGCGGC